TCAAGACTATGTAGACTTAGCTTGTACAGAATAAAACCTCCTGAAAACTCTGGTATGAAAAAAAAAAATAACTGGAGGAAATCAATTAATAAAAATAATTAATGAAATAAAATTTTACTTTGAGATTTGTGATTTCGTTTTTGCAGACTTTTCTCAGGTTTTGCTGTTCAGTATTTTCTTTGTACTTGTACGGGAAATAGCGCTTAGATTATCCTCAGTTTTAACACAAGGCAAAAACATGAGAGAGATTTGTCTTTCAGTGATAAAACTAGTGAAAATAGAATACTTATGATAACCCTGTCTTTGAAAAACATCAGTAAAAAGCCCCCCTAGCTCCATGAACATGTTGCAGACTGCACATGTCACATAACTAAGGACTACGATTTTTTTGCCTGAGGCTCCCACATTTAACAAAGGGAAACGCTGCCTTCAACAAAAGATGTTATTCTAGTTATGTGCCCTTTTACCCTGTCAGAGAAACAGCTGGTATCATAAAGTCACAGCTAATTTGTATCATGTCTGCACTAACAGTCAGATTCAGTTTGTATCAAACTTTCAAAGTTGGACTTAATACCAGTTGATAGATGACAGCTTTTCGTGCCTCTCCCCCTTCTCACAACATATTTAAACATTGCTTCCCACATTAAAAAAATAATATTCAAAATACAAATGGAATCTTTAATGTTTCACATAATCAGAATATACGAAAATGTTTAAAACTACTAAATTTGAAAGAAATCCTCAAGAAGGGTGAGAAAATTGCATCAGCACTTTTGAAGTTCTGTGACAAATAAATAGTGCTTTAAGACAGACGTGTGGGTACCAAGTGTAATGGAAAAGAATTTTCTCCTGAATGGAAAAAAAACAACCCAAAACCTCACTTGCCTCAGGTAATCTCTTGCAGTTTGGGGTATCTGCTCTCCTAAAAAAAAAAGTCAGTATGCCTGCAGAGACTTTAAGGGCTTTTTCAAGGTCAGCACTCAACAATTTAAGGAAGGCAAATTTCACTTTTTTTTAAGGGACCTGTTTCTCATTTATGCTATTAAATGTCATCTACTCTCATTTTAAGATCCCCGAAGCAGAATGCCTGAACTGTGTAAAGGGACTTTAGTGAAAGTGAAAGTCAGGCCAAAGACTTAACAGCTCCAAACCTGCAGTGCTTGTCTAGAAAGAGCTGCAAAGATCAGGTTCTTCTTGGGAAACAGGCATGGGGGAAACTTCGAAAGATTGGGAGTTCAAGCTCAGTTCAGATAAACACCTAACAGTGCCGGTGTTGGAGGCTTCTGAGGCCACCCTCCACAGCACCAGAGTCTACAGTGTTAGCAAGAAACAAGATATTTTTTTGAGATTTCAGCTACTTCCTACTTCTGGACAAACTAGAAGTATTTGACCAAGGCTCTTTCATCCCGCCATCTGAAAGCATCACTGAAATGTATGCAAGGAAAATCTCACCACATCCTGGGAAGTAGGGAATTTATGTATTTATTTTTTAATACTGCACAGTATAATGATTATCAGGGCTCTGAACAATTGGCCCCATGTATCAGAAAGAGATCGGTCTGCTTCACAAACTTAAGTACTCCAAGTGAACAACGTCCCTGGGAAGTTCAAAGCAGCAGTATCAGTAATGCAGTTTTAAAGTGACAGGAGAGCTTATGGTGATGGAGCTGAGAAAGAGCAGTTGTCAGTGAAGCCTGAAAAATCCCAGCTCCCAGCCTATCTTTCCTTCAGTGCATGCATCTCCTGCCTTAGAAAGTTAATATTGCACAGAAGACAGTAAGATACGGCTTCTGCTGTGCCTAAGCTGTGCTTGGCACTGCTCTCTGATGGACTCCTTGCCAGCGAACAGAGCCAAAGCGCCGCATGCTCCTGCCACATCCTCTCCAGCGAGCTGTATCTGCTCTCTACCTACTGGGAAGATGCAGATAATCAACTCCACTCCCTTCACTCCAAGCGCAGCAGTGACTCTGCCCCTACATATGATCCTTGTGCTTGTTCAGATATATTTTTTTTTTTTATGTTCTTAAACCGCTGTCTGGCAAGGCATGGTTTATTAGAAGCAGATTTCTCTTCGACTACTCAGTGTGTCAGTTTTACAGTTCCTAGGTGGTGTAATTCCTGGAAAATAAAAAACGTTCTTCATCCAAAATTTTGGATGAGTCACAGCAGGTTTACTTGTTTTGGTTCATCCTTAAACAAAGCATAATGTTCTATATCTAAATGATGCTCTGGTTTTCTTTGTTTCAGCTAATAGCTCCAAATTTCTTACAAGCAGTAAGACTTTTCTAGCAAATGATGCCCACGCCCACCAATTGGGCTTGGCAACCAAAGGCAGCCATCACATTTTCATGGGGGGTGAATGGCATTAGGAAGAACGACACTGTTCCTTTCTGAGCTCGATCCCTTGGTATTAAACCAAATAAGACACCCAACAGTAGGCTTTAACACCAAAACCACCAGGTTCTCATCTCTTGCAAAAGAGCTTTCATCAATAAGTGCCCCAGCCGCAAGCAGCGGTCACCTGAAGTCCCAGAAACTACAGAGAAACTTGGGCAAGATTGGATGCTGCTGCACCTCCTTTTCCAAACAGCAGAGAGGACAGAGATGAGAGAAGGAAGACCCTAAGCTCATCTCAGTATAAGTCATCATGATAAAGCCATAGAAAAATAACTCTTCAGAGACTCTACAGGAATGCTTTCAGTCTTTCTTAAGAGAATAGCTGACCAAAACCTCTCTTACACAATATTCCCTAATGGCAAACATCCTGACTTCTAACGAAATGTATGTTTCCAGGGAAGATAAAAACCAGTCATCGCTGGCCAGTGACTTTGAACCTTAACCTTATAGGGTATCACTTCTTTTTGAAAGTAATTTACATAAGCATGTCTCGGAGTGTCTTCCAAAGTCAGACTTGGCTGTATTCAAGATCTAACAGAAGAGCAACGGGACTGCCATGTTAATATTAAACTATATTACTGCTTTTTATACTCAGATATAGAGATGTCCCTTGTTTCCAGTACTTTATGGAGATAATGCTTGTTTTTTCCTTTCCAAATGAGTGTATTAGTCCACATAGTCCACACCATTTGCTTTGATGATTTTCTAAAGGCAACTAATGACATTTTTCATGGTATTTTCATTCATGTCCCCTAAAGACCATCCTCCTATTCAGGCAGCTTTACAATGTGAAAGAGGAGGCTAGGTGTGGAAAGTTATCAGATTTTGCCTTTCCTTCTTGATGACAGAATTCTTCCACCACTTTAACAAGTGCCATGGGGGCACCATGGGGATTTCAGCATGAGACAGATGACACTCACCTTGCATGCTGCACTTTGAGTAGATGGATGAGTCAGCGAAGGACAGATTTTCAGATGCAATTTATACATCAAAATAAGGCACTAGCTAAAAAATCCACTGAAGCACAGATCTCCGTTTTGAGAAACTGAGGTGACTTGTTTTAATACCACAGTCTGCATGCTCAGATATGTCTACAAATAAAACTCCAGTTGCTGAGCTAGCAGAAAAACTCTGGAGGGCAGTCACTGCTCTCTTTGAATATCCTATCCTAAGCACAGGGGGAGAACACTTGCATTTCTGATCCCATTTGCTCTTGGACAATATGGTCTCCCTTTCCTTGGGTCAAGTTTTTAAGGAATTAAGGTACCTCATAAATGCACCACCCAAGGCAGCATGTGGGAACTTAAATTCAGTGATCTCACTGGAAGTAGCACGTCAGGGGAAATTTTAGAACATTTCGGCAGGTTCTGAATCAGAAAGAAATCCTAATTTTGGAACAGCAAAATTTCCTACAAACTGAAAATCCCAGTATGTATCTGGGATTTCATCCTAAATACTCTCCCCACAAAGGCTCAAAAGCCATGTAGAACTCTGAAACTGCAACCAGGGCAGAGAACAGCCTGCAACAATTATCAGCCCATTCAGCACTTGCACAAACCGTCTCAGAAGTGCAGGCAAAGTTAAATTCGCTTCCCCAAGGACGATGACAAAACCAGCTAAAACGGGCCCATCAGCATTCCTGATGTGGGGGAGAAGGCTGCCGAGATGAAAGGCAACGCAACCAGTGTTCAGCCTGCCGCCATGTCTCTCCTCCTCCTCCACACTGCTCTTGCCAAAAAGAGGGGGAATGGAGCAGAGGTACAGAGGAGGTCCAGGCACACAGAGAACAGGATCATTCATCAGTGAGAATAAGCAGCTTGCTGTACCCTGAATTAACTGAAGGTGATGGTATCTAGGGGAGTTGCCTTGACTCTGGTGCAATATTTTTGATCCCATCAGCCTGCTGTCATAGGCACCGCTTAAACTGAAAGCCAGTCCTCAGTTTGTCTCCAGTCTGGAATTTCCGTATATTGAGGGGCTGAAGTTTATACACATTATAAACACTTCCTTTAAATGGTTTGTGAGCCCTCACTTGTTCTGGCAGTGAAAGAACAATGTTTGTAAAAAATGCCTAAGTCTTATACGTTGTAAATAGGCAGTAAACATGGTTACTTGGACACTCACAGACTCCTCAGAGCCTGCTTGCTCTAAAAATAGCAGAAGACACAACAGGACAGTAACACCAACAGTACATTACCTTAACATAAATAAAGATGATTTAAGACTTCCACTGCAAGCAAAAAAACTTGCTGAACTGCAGTGGAGAAATACATATAGCTCTTAAAAGAATGGCCATACACCCACAAAATGTTTACTGTGAAATTCAAGGATTTCAATTTGAGGATAAAATTCAAAATAAAATCCTTTAAATCTACTATCAATTCTGAAGAAAGTAATCTCTGGTGACAGTGGTCCCAGAGGAATAGGAGTCAAGAGTCTGACTGTGGGTCTGTCCACGGATTTTCAGAGGGATTTGGACACAGCACACAGAGGGAAAAAAAAAATCCAATATAAAAGCCTCAGTACAAAAAAACCCGATACAGAAAACCCCTCTGAATACCACAGGCAAGGAAATCTGAGGTAACTACTTTGATCATACTCACAGGAAGGCAAGCAGAGGAAATATTCTGAGGTTTTCAGTAACAAACCAGCTGCTGATGAATTCAAAATGACGACTCCAGAAAATAGAGGTGATCACTGTACAGAAATAAAAAAAAACCAAAGAACGTGGTTTGCAATGGCATAATTATTGCACACACTTCATTTTTCTTCGGTAAAGTTGTCTTTACCACCACCCCTACAAAAGTTTTTTAAAGTACGGAATAAAATAGAAAAATTTTGAAAGAGACTGACAAAACCTGCTATCAACAGCTCTATAAATTAGAGTTTGACAAAACAGGCTTTGATTTCCCAAAATCTCTGAAAGTCACTCACTAAAACCTCTTTATGAAGTGAAGCTGATACAGGCTAAACTGAATATTCTCTTGTGATTAGTAAGAGACGAATCAAAGCATCAGACTAACAGTGAGTTTTTGCAAGAGAGCAAGGTTTCCAGCATACCTCCATAAGGATCTATACTGAGACCTAAAGTATTCAACATATTCATAAAAGCACTCTGCAAAAGCAGATGAACAGTGAGAAGACAAAGCCTGTAGATGACACAAAGCTATTTATTACAATAAAATCTAAAGTCAATACAAAGAACTGAGGAAAGAGTTCAGAGTAATTAATTTCTATGGGCAGACTGAATTCAGTGTTCATAAGTAAAGGTACAGGGGAAAAACCCATATATCTGTATACACACAGTGATCAACTTTAATGAGCCAATACCACTCAGTAAAGACATCTTGGAGCCTGAGGAAGAGCTCTCTGAAAATATTAGCTGAGTAGCCAGCAGTTGTCAAAAGGCAAGTTGAGAATAATTGGGGAAAAATCTAGGTCACAACCTATGTTTGCAGTTTTGCATGAAGTTCTGGTTACCCTTTCTCAAGAAGAGCCCCTGGAATGGACAGCAATAATGATCAGAGCTATGGCACAGCTCCCATCTAGGAGCCTATCTTGAGTATGACTCTTCTATTAGAAAAAGAGAGATGATTAAGGCAGGATATGAGAAAGGTCTCAAATGGTTTTTAAACAGTAAATGTTTATTGTCATACAAGAATTATGTTTCAAGAAGGAATTAAAAAAAAAAAAGCATTGAGGATAGTTTCATCAGCTATGAGATATGATAGACTGGATGTGACCTCTACGTTAGAAAGTCCCAAAGCAAAGATTGCCAAACTCTGGGAGACCACATAAAAGGAAGAGCCATTCCACACCCATCTACCTTTTATTTTGCTTTTCTGTGAATGTCTCAGTGTCTCCATCAGAGGTGGGATACTAACATAGAAGGACCCTTGCTGTGACCTGGCATGACAACAGTTCTATAAATGTCAATTCAGAGAGCAGAACAAATGAGCTGCCACCCTTATACAAGGACAGTACAACTACTCATGGGTGATCTAGTGGAAACTCAGAATTGTTACTGGCAAATATAGTAAGAAGGAGTTTCATTGAAATGTAGTATTTTTCCCCTGAAGTGTCACTCTGCATTCAGCTACCACTTGGTGGTATACAGACCCACCAGAGTAAAAATAAAACCCATAAGCTTTCTTCAGAGAGCATTGCATGGTCCATCCTCTTTAGACCCATGGACCTTCATATGGAACATCCTGGTGCCAACAAAGGATTATTTAAAATCACTGAAACCTATATTCAGTAATTTAGGATCACTGGAAACTTACACACGTTTGAGGACTGTTGATGTAAATAACTACTCAGCAATTTAAAAAATGGTTTTACAGGATGGTCTCTGGGTTTTATAGACACCTGCAATTTATATTATTGAAAACTGTAGGGTGATCAAAGTCAAGATTTTTATTCATTCCATTAGAAGTTTCAGTATTAGATTCAAAAGAGATCTGAATCCCCTTTTTATGCTTAGTGTTACTATGCATATATCTCATAGTGGAAAAAGGCAATATAAGAGGACATCCCAAATCATCAAGGTCTGAAAAGAGCAACCAAGAACGTCAAGTCATCTTCCTCTCACTGGTTACTCCTGCTTACAGCAAGAGCACACTGGGCTCCATTGGTCCACAGAGCTCCAACTCATGGATAGCATGAAAGTCCGTCTAGGTCACTGAATTAATTCAAACTTTTTCACTAACCTGAAAAGCTGACTTTGCCCATTTCTATTGTTTAGTGTGCCCCACCTGACACTCAGCAGGCATGACAATGACATTCAGACCATTCATTCGGAGGATCTTGGATCTTTTTCTGCTTCAGACCAGTTGCTGTCTTTCAATCTCTTCTTTTTTTTTTTTTTTTTTAAATGGAGACAACACCCAAAAGATTTTCATTTTCTTTCCCACAGTCACAAAGCCCTCCTCTGCTACTCTCCTTTATTTGCTCTGTCCTAAAGCAACATTTTTCTGAATTGAGCTCAACATAATTTGTAATATCAATAAAATGACTGAAATATACACTCTCACTATTTGCTATCCAAAAGAACCTCTAACACACCACAATTCCATTGTGAGCTGACTACGAAGGGCTAAGAACAACTTAAACAGGAAATTTCCATGCAACTTAAGCATGAAGGAAGTTCAGGTCCAGGTCGAAAACCAGACTTCATAAATGTAACCCTCCAATCCAAGAAATATCACTAGAGTTTGGACACATTTGGAACTGTAATCTTCAGTGGTAAAATTGGCAGAATTTTTACCCATTCTTCAGTCCTTCAAATTCCCCTGACTTGGGTTCTGCACTCATTCACGCAATGGCATTAACAGCATTCAGACCTAGGCACACACCCAGCACTGCACATTCAAGCACACAGTGGAACACAATTCCCAGCTAACAAAGGTACTAGATTCTCAGCTAACATAGGTCAGTTTCCATTAAATGCAATTTTAAAAACAGAAATGTTTTTATCACATGTTCTGGAAAATGCTTTTATTGGAAGTACTTTGTGGCTTAAGAAATGAGGAAGTGGTTACTGTCTTGATTATGGAAACAAGGGAAACCAAATCACATCCAAGATCATTCAGAAGTTGACCTGTGACACTAAAACGTAAAGGTTTTTATTAAAAGTATATGCGTGCACAAAGAAAAGCATGGTTTCACTCCTCTCTTCTCTGTTAATGAATTAGTTCCATTATACCAAGTAGCTTTGAATGGAAATAAAGTTATGGAGCCCAGTTACCAAAACCATGTGCTGCAGGTGCTCAGTTTTATCCAATAGCTCAACAGCTAGGGCTATGATAGCGTTCAGATCACATATCTTCTTGCAGGGACTTTAGCCTACATCTTCCAAAGGACACTCTAGCACTAGGATGTTCTTCTACATTCTTTCCCGCCAGTCCTGGTGCTAAGAGCAGAAGGGGAACTGTAACACACTAGACTATAGGTCTGACTAGCTCTGTATCTGGTCTCTAGCAGTGGCCAATATCAGATGTTTAGGGTAGAACATAAGAACAGGGAAAGCATATAATGATGCTTCCCACAAATATTCTACAACAGCTCGTGACTTCCAGAATGTCTGAGTCAAAGGTGGAATCTGTGTATTTACTGATCTCCATGGCAGCTTTTTTCCATTATTATTTCCAGTAGCTGCCAACATTCAGCAAAATCCCATAAGAGAGTCCCACAACTTAATTATGTGCTATGTGAAGATGTAGTTCACTTTGGACAAGTAATTAAGCCTTCAGACTGACACTAGGACTCAGCTATTGCAGCTGAAGGTTCACTCATCTGATGCATAGTTAGGTGTGGTATGCACATCGGAAGTATTCCTCATTGCATCACACATAATGGAGCAAGCCCAAATTATCCAACAGCAAGGTGGTTAAGAAGCTGTTTTGGAAATAGCACACCTGGGTTTCAGTCCAAATTACATATTTAATCATTTAGAAAAGTGAAATTGCATCAGTAGGAAAGAGTAGGAGCACCATAAAGAATAGCTGGAGAGTGCACTTTGGAGTTCTTTTTGGACAAAGGAGGTAACCCAGTCTACTGGGTTCTTTTTCTTAGATAAAAGAAAGATTCCTCTTCAAATCTTTAAATTTCATTTCACATAATACTTCAGGTTGGAAGGCATCTCTGGAGATCATCTAGTCCAATTCCCTGCTCAAAGTAGGTTGCCCTGGATCATGTCCCTGCTGGTGTCTGAATATCTCCAAGGACAGAGACTCCACCGCCTCTCTGGAAAATCTGTTCCAATGTTGATCACTTACAGTAAAAAAAAAAAATCTCTTTGTTTAAATGGAATTTTCTGTATTTCAATTTGTGTTTCTTTCCTCATGTCCTTTCACTGGCTAGTGCTCAGAAGAGTCTGGCTCTCTTTTTTGTCATCATCCCTCCCCTCTCCCACAGTCACAGAGTCACAGTGCATGACAGCCATAGAGTGGCTCTTAAACTTGAATCTCATTCCAGTTACAGCTTGTACAAATCATTTTTTCCCCTCAAGCTGTGGAAATGAGAGCAGGAAACCACCTTTTTAAAAAATTGGTCTAGGTGAAGTATTTCTTTGTTTACCCATTTCATCCAGATCTCCTTTTCTCCTTTTGATTTTTATGTCAGGATTGCCATGTAGTTTATTTACTTACAAAGACATTACAGAGGGAACACCCAAATAAAACTTTTCAACTTTTCCTCAGATGTGATATGTACACAAAGACGACTTTTTATTACAGTGTTTCTCAAACAAGTGTTGCCAACAGAAGAGGGGAACAAGAATCCTCAAGTTCATCTGTTCCTATCTAAACAAGTGCCCAAGGAATTTGGTTTCTAGGATGACCTAAAAAAAGGGAGGTATGTTGTCTCCTGTGAACTGCTCACCTAACCACTCATGAGCAGCTTATCAGTACAAAACATCAGCATTCAAAGTAAATAAAAACACCTATTAACTCTTATGCAGCAATACACTTAATTGAGAGTTTAATATAAAACCCACAGTCAAAGCCCATTGACTTCAGGCTAAGCACACATTTATGTGTTCTGCTGGACATGGACAGTTTGCTGTACCTGAGCTCTACTTCCCAGAGGGCTGCAGCCATCCCCTAATTATCAATTTTTCTGTCAGTGTTAGGAGTGCAGTAGTATCACCAAGCCCCAGCTTTCTGGGTGCTACATAAACAGTAAGACAAAAAGGTAGT